ACAGAAACGATACTTGGGGACAGAGAAACGATACTTAGGGACAGAGAACTATTACTCAGGGACACAGAATTGTTAATTAGGGCCACAGAATCGTTACTTAGGGACAAAGAAACGCTAGTTAGGGCCACAGAATTCATACTCAGGGACAGACAGAATTGTTACTGAGTGCCAGAGAATTGTTACTTAGGGCCACAGAAACGTTATTAGGGCCACAGAATTGTTACTCAGGGACAGACAGAAATTGTTACTGAGTGCCAGAGAATTGTTACTTAGGGCCACAGAAAACGTTATTAGGGCCACAGAATTGTTACTCAGGGACAGACAGAATTGTTACTGAGTGCCAGATAATTGTTACTTAGGGCCACAGAAACGTTATTAGGGCCACAGAATTGTTACTCAGGGACAGACAGAATTGTTACTGAGTGCCAGAGAATTGTTACTTAGGGCCACAGAAACTTTAGTTAGGGCCACAGAATTGTTACTCAGGGACAGACACAGAATTGTTACTGAGGGCCACAGAACTGTTACTTAGGGCCACAGAATTGTTACTCGCACAGACACAGAATTGTTACTCACACAGACACAGAATTGTTACTGAGGGCCACAGAACTGTTACTTAGGGCCACAGAATTGTTACTCGCACAGACACAGAATTGTTACTCAGGGACACAGAATTGTTACTGAGGGCCACAGAACCGTTACTTAGGGCCACAGAATTGTTTACTCGCACAGACCACAGAATTGTTACTCACAGACACAGACAATTGTTAATTGTTACTCGCACAGACACACAGAATTGTTACTGAGGGCCACAGAACTGTTAGTTAGGGCCACAGAATTGTTACTCGCACAGACACAGAATTGTTACTCGCACAGACACAGAATTGTTACTGAGGGCACACAGAATTGTTACTGAGGGCCACAGAACTGTTACTTGGGGCCACAGAAACGTTAATCAGGGACACAGAATTGTTACTGAGGGCCACAGAACTGTTACTTAGGGCCACAGAAATTGTTACTCGCACAGAATTGTTACTCACAGAATTGTTACACAGGGACACAGAACAGAATTGTTACTGAGGGCCACAGAACTGTTACTTAGGGCCACAGAATTGTTACTCGCACAGACACAGAATTGTTACTCGCACAGACACAGAATTGTTACTGAGGGCCACAGAACTGTTACTTAGGGCCACAGAATTGTTACTCGCACAGACACAGAATTGTTACTGAGGGACACAGAACTGTTACTGAGGGCCACAGAACTCGTTACTTAGGGCCACAGAATTGTTACTCGCACAGACACAGACACAGAATGTTACTCGCACAGACACAGAATTGTTACTCGCACAGACACAGAATTGTTACTCGCACAGACACAGAATTGTTACTCAGGGACACAGAACTGTTACTGAGGGCCACAGAAACTGTTACTTAGGGCCACAGAATTGTTACTCGCACAGACACAGAATTCTTACTCGCACAGACACAGAATTGTTACTCAGGGACACAGAACTGTTACTTAGGGCCACAGAACTGTTACTTAGGGCCACAGAATTGTTACTTAGCACAGAATTGTTAGAATTGTTACTCGCACAGACACAGAATTGTTACTGAGGGCCACAGAACTGTTACTTGGGGCCACAGAATTGTTAATCAGGGACACAGAATTGTTACTGAGGGCCACAGAACTGTTAGGGCCACAGAAATGTTTACTCGCACAGACACAGAATTGTTACTCGCACAGACACAGAATTGTTACTGAGGGCCACAGAACTGTTACTTGGGGCCACAGAAACGTTAATCAGGGACACAAATTGTTACTGAGGGCCACAGAACTGTTACTTAGGGCCACAGAATTGTTACTCGCACAGACACAGAATTGTTACTCGCACAGACACAGAATTGTTACTGAGGGCCACAGAACTGTTACTTGTTACTTAGGGCCACAGAATTGTTACTCGCACAGACACAGAATTGTTACACAGGGACACAGAACTGTTACTGAGGGCCACAGAACCGTGTTACTTAGGGCCACAGAATTGTTACTCGCACAGACACAGAATTGTTACTCGCACAGACCACACAGAATTGTTACTCGCACAGACACAGAATTGTTACTCGCACAGACACACTCAGAATTGTTACTCAGGGGACACAGAACTGTTACTGAGGGCCACAGAACTGTTACTTAGGGCCACAGAATTGTTACTCGCACAGACACAGAATTGTTTACTCGCACACTCGCACAGAATTGTTACTCAGGGACACAGAACTGTTACTTAGGGCCACAGAACTGTTAGTTAGGGCCACAGAATTGTTACTCGCACACAGACACAGAATTGTTACTCGCACAGACACAGAATTGTTACTGAGGGCCACAGAACTGTTACTTGGGGCCACAGAAACGTTAATCAGGGACACAGAATTGTTACTGAGGGCCACAGAACTGTTACTTAGGGCCACAGAATTGTTACTCGCACAGACACAGAATTGTTACTCGCACAGACACAGAATTGTTACTGAGGGCCACAGAACTGTTACTTGGGGCCACAGAACAGAACGTTAATCAGGGCACACAGAATTGTTACTGAGGGCCACAGAATTGTTACTTAGGGCCACAGAATTGTTACTCGCACAGACACAGAAATGTTACTCAGGGACACAGAACTGTTACTGAGGGCCACAGAACTGTTACTTAGGGCCACAGAATTGTTACTCGCACAGACACAGAATTGTTACTCGCACAGACACAGAATTGTTACTGAGGGCCACAGAACTGTTACTTGGGGCCACAGAAACGTTAATCAGGGACACAGAATTGTTACTGAGGGCCACAGAACTGTTACTTAGGGCCACAGAATTGTTACTCGCACAGACACAGAATTGTTACTCGCACAGACACAGAATTGTTACTGAGGGCCACAGAACTGTTACTTGGGGCCACAGAAACGTTAATCAGGGACACAGAATTGTTACTGAGGGCCACAGAACTGTTAGGGCCACAGAATTGTTACTCGCACAGACACAGAATTGTTACTCGCACAGACACAGAATTGTTACTGAGGGCCACAGAACTGTTACTTGGGGCCACAGAAACGTTAATCAGGGACACACAGAATTGTTACTGAGGGCCACAGAACTGTTACTTAGGGCCACAGAATTGTTACTCGCACAGACAGAAATTGTTACTCAGGGGACACAGAACTGTTACTGAGGGCCACAGAACCGTTACTTAGGGCCACAGAATTGTTACTCGCACAGACACAGAATTGTTACTCGACACAGAATTGTTACTCGCACAGACACAGAATTGTTACTTTGCACAGACACAGAATTGTTACTCAGGGACCAGCAGAATTGTGTGAACTGTTACAGAACTGTTACTTAGGGCCACAGAACTGTTACTTAGGGCCACAGAATTGTTACTCGCACAGACACAGAATTGTTACTCGCACAGACACAGAATTGTTACTCAGGGACACAGAACTGTTACTGAGGGCCACAGAACTGTTACTTAGGGCCACAGAATTGTTACTTGTTACTTTCGCACAGACACAGAATTGTTACTCGCACAGACACAGAATTGTTACTGAGGGCCACAGAACTGTTACTTGGGGCCACAGAAACGTTAATCAGGGACACAGAATTGTTACTGAGGGCCACAGAACTGTTACTTAGGGCCACAGAATTGTTACTCGCACACAGACACAGAAGATTGTTACTCAGGGACACAGAATTGTTACTCAGGGACACATAATCGTTTAATTAAAGAGTATGTCAGACAACATGCAGAGGAGTGGCAGAGGAGGCAATGTTTTTTTAGGAGCGAGCAGACGTGGCAGCAGAGGAAGGGGTCGAGGCAGCACTATTCGCAGCCAGAGGCCAGTGCTCCCGGTGTCATCCAGTACAGTGAGGAAGAGCTAACAGAGGGCGGTCAGGAACGGGGGGGGAGACATCCGCCTCTTCAGCAGCCAGGGCGAAGAAGTAGTGTGGCGAGGAGAGTGGCTCGGTAGCCGGTCTAGAGACAGGTCTGTCTCCTGACCCACACGCAGCCGAGGGGGCTAGTAGTGAGGCGGAGACCCTAATTGATGATGATGAGGCTGATCGCACTTGGCAGCCTCGTCGTCATCAGGCTATTGCTTCATCGCATCATCAGGAGAAGTCGGGGTGCCACACTCTGCCAGTGCCAGGGGTCTCCTGGCAGCTTGGGGTGCTGGCAGAGCAAAACAGTCGGTGGGTTGTCTCCATCGCCACACTCTGCCATGTGCCACTTTCAGGTCTCCTCACACACTGCTGGTGTGTTCCATTTTTTTGACATAGGGTGCTGGCAGATTACGGGCCTCCCATAGCTGCTGCCAGGCCCCTAATCTGCCATGGGCCCCTATACCGCCTCCTCATGCTGCTGCTGCCCAGGTTTTCACAGTCTGTCATGGGTCCCTGTAGGTCCACAGTGTCTCATGCCATGTGCCACTTTCAGGTCTCCTCACACACTGCTGGTGTGTTCAATTTTTTTGACATAGGGTGCTGGCAGATTACGGGCCTCCCATAGCTGCTGCCAGGCCCCTAATCTGCCATGGGCCCCTATATACCGCCTCCTCATGCTGCTGCCAGAAGTCCAGAGTCTCTCATGGGTCCCTGTACGGCCTCCCATTGCTGCTGTCTCCATCGCCACACTCTGCCATGTGCCACTTTCAGGTCTCCTCACACACTGCTGGTGTGTTCAATTTTTTTGACATAGGGTGCTGGCAGATTACGGGCCTCCCATAGCTGCTGCCAGGCCCCTAATCTGCCATGGGCCCCTATATACCGCCCGCCTCCTCATGCTGCTGCGAAGTCCAGAGTCTCTCATGGGTCCCTGTACGGCCTCCCATTGCTGCTGTCTCCATCGCCACACTCTGCCATGTGCCACTTTCAGGTCTCCTCACACACTGCTGGTGTGTTCAATTTTTTTGACATAGGGTGCTGGCAGATTACGGGCCTCCCATAGCTGCTGCCAGGCCCCTAATCTGCCATGGGCCCCTATACCGCCTCCTCATGCTGCTGCCAGGTCCAGGCGAACGTAGTCACACAGGGGAGGAACTTCTCAGTGTAATGAACAGAAAATCACAGATGGCTGTCTCCGCGCAAACTGAAAATCGGAACCATGTTGACCGACAACGGAAAGAACATGGTGTCTGCTCTGCGTCAAGGAAGGTTGTGCCATGCGCCATGCATGGCTCACGTGTTCAATCTGGTTGTCAAGCGGTTCCTAAAATCCACCATCCCACTGCAAGACATCCTTAAAATGTCACGTAAACTTGCATGCATTTCAGCCATTCCTACACCGCAAAGCACACCCTCCTTGAGCTGCAGCGGCAGAACGGAATTCCACAGCATCGCCTGATCTGCGACGTTGCAACAAGGTGGAATTCAACCCTACACATGGTTGACCGCCTTTACGAACAGCGAAAGGCCATCACCGATTTCCTGATGTTACAAGCGGATAAAGGTACTCCCCTGTGTAACTTCGATGTCAGCCATTGGCAGCTCATGCGTGACACCTGCCGCTTGCTCAGGCCCTTTGAGGAGGCCACGCTATTCGTGAGTCGGCAGGACTATGGGATGAACGACGTCATTCCTCTGTTGCACGTCCTGGAACAAATGCTGTTAACAATGGCTGGTCAGGGTGCGGTAGACGTGGCGCACAGATCTCAACGCCACATGAACCCTGTGGGGGCAGGACAGGAAGAAGAGGAGGAGGTAGAGGAGGACATTGGTGCTCAGGAATTATTGAGTGAAATGGGTGGTTTTTCCACTCAGCGGACAGGAGTGGAGGAGCAGGAGCATCTGGTAGAGGAGGAGGAGAGGAGACAGAGGACCCAGACGCACCGTGGCAGTATGCTGTGGAGATGGAGTCAGGGAGTCCCTCGCATTCCTTGGCACAAATGGCCCATAGCATGCTCGGTTGCTTGCGTAGCGACAGCCGAATAAGAACCATCAGACAGAGGGATGACTTTTGGCTGTCCACCTTGTTGGACCCTCGCTACCGTTCAAAAATGGTGGCCTTTTTCACACCTGCTGAGAGGGAGGCCAAAATAACGTACTATAAAAACCACCTATGTAGTCAGTTGGTCTCTGCCTTTGTGCGCCAACGTCCATCCTCAGACACTGTGGGCCCTGTGCGCTCGCGTTCCGCTGCCATGGCAGCAAAGGAGGGGTGGGGTGGTAGGAGCAGTGGCAGCTCCACCAGCAGCGGCTGCCTCAGTCTGCAGTCGATGATGAGTAGCTTTCTTCACCAGCGCAGTGAGGAAACTACTAACCAGCCGCAGCAGCAGCAGCAGCAGGGGGGACCTGGAGCAGGACCTCAAACAACAGGCTTGGGCCTACTTGGACAGCACCCTGCCAACCGAGGTAGACAATCCCTGACTACTGGGCAACGAAACTTGACCTTTGGCCCCAACTAGCTGAATTTGCCCTTGAAAGGCTGTCATGCCCGGCCAGTAGCGTGGCATCGGAGCGCGTGTTTAGTGCGTGCGGCAGGAGGTATTGTAACTCCGCGGAGGACACGACTGTCCACCCAAAGTGTGGAGAGACTCACGTTTGTGAAAATGAATCAGGCGTGGATTAGTCTGGATTTCAAACCACCAGTTCCTGACACAACTGACTAAATCCGCCATGAATCATGCCTCAAACATGTGCCACTTTGAGGTCTCCTCACACTGCTGCTGGTGTGTTGAATTTTTTGACATAGGGTGCTGGCAGATTACGGGCCTCCCATAGCTGCTGCCAGGCCCCTAATCTGCCATGGGCCCCTATATACCGCCTCCTCATGCTGCTGCCAAGTCCAGAGTCTCTCATGGGTCCCTGTACGGCCTCCCATTGCTGCTGTCTCCATCGCCACACTCTGCCATGTGCCACTTTCAGGTCTCCTCACACACTGCTGGTGTGTAGAATTTTTTTGACATAGGGTGCTGGCAGATTACGGGCCTCCCATAGCTGCTGCCAGGCCCCTAATCTGCCATGGGCCCCTATACCCGCCTCCTCATGCTGCTGCCAGGTCCAGAGTCTCTCATGGGTCCCTGTACGGCCTCCCATTGCTGCTGTCTCCATCGCCACACTCTGCCATGTGCCACTTTCAGGTCTCCTCACACACTGCTGCTGTGTGTAGAATTTTTTGACATAGGGTGCTGGCAGATTACGGGCCTCCCATAGCTGCTGCCAGGCCCCTAATCTGCCATGGGCCCCTATATACCGCCTCCTCATGCTGCTGCCAGGTCCAGAGTCTCTCATGGGTCCCTGTACGGCCTCCCATTGCTGCTGTCTCCATCGCCACACTCTGCCATGTGCCACTTTCAGGTCTCCTCACACTGCTGGTGTGTAGAATTTTTTGACATAGGGTGCTGGCAGATTACGGGCCTCCATAGCTGCTGCCAGGCCCCTAATCTGCCATAGGGCCCCTATATACCGCCTCCTCATGCTGCTGCCAGGTCCAGAGTCTCTCATGGGTCCCTGTACGGCCTCCCATTGCTGCTGTCTCCATCGCCACACTCTGCCATGTGCCACTTTCAGGTCTCCTCACACACTGCTGGTGTGTAGAATTTTTTGACATAGGGTGCTGGCAGATTACGGGCCTCCCATAGCTGCTGCCAGGCCCCTAATCTGCCATAGGCCCCTATATACCGCCTCCTCATGCTGCTGCCAGGTCCAGAGTCTCTCATGGGTCCCTGTACGGCCTCCCATTGCTGCTGTCTCCATCGCCACACTCTGCCATGTGCCACTTTCAGGTCTCCTCACACACTGCTGGTGTGTAGAATTTTTTGACATAGGGTGCTGGCAGATTACGGGCCTCCCATAGCTGCTGCCAGGCCCCTAATCTGCCATGGGCCCCTATATATACCGCCTTCATGCTGCTGCCAGGTCCAGAGTCTCTCATGGGTCCCTGTACGGCCTCCCATTGCTGCTGTCTCCATCGCCACACTCTGCCATGTGCCACTTTCAGGTCTCCTCACACACTGCTGGTGTGTAGAATTTTTTGACATAGGGTGCTGGCAGATTACGGGCCTCCCATAGCTGCTGCCAGGCCCCTAATCTGCCATGGGCCCCTATATACCGCCTCCTCATGCTGCTGCCAGGTCCAGAGTCTCTCATGGGTCCCTGTACGGCCTCCCATTGCTGCTGTCTCCATCGCCACACTCTGCCATGTGCCACTTTCAGGTCTCCTCACACACTGCTGGTGTGTTAGAATTTTTTGACATAGGGTGCTGGCAGATTACGGGCCTCCCATAGCTGCTGCCAGGCCCCTAATCTGCCATGGGCCCCTATATACCGCCTCCTCATGCTGCTGCCAGGTCCAGAGTCTCTCATGGGTCCCTGTACGGCCTCCCATTGCTGCTGTCTCCATCGCCACACTCTGCCATGTGCCACTTTCAGGTCTCCTCACACACTGCTGGTGTGTAGAATTTTTTGACATAGGGTGCTGGCAGATTACGGGCCTCCCATAGCTGCTGCCAGGCCCCTAATCTGCCATGGGCCCCTATATACCGCCTCCTCATGCTGCTGCCAAGTCCAGAGTCTCTCATGGGTCCCTGTACGGCCTCCCATTGCTGCTGTCTCCATCGCCACACTCTGCCATGTGCCACTTTCAGGTCTCCTCACACACTGCTGGTGTGTGTAGAATTTTTTGACATAGGGTGCTGGCAGATTACGGGCCTCCCATAGCTGCTGCCAGGCCCCTAATCTGCCATGGGCCCCTATATACCGCCTCCTCATCATGCTGCTGCCAGGTCCAGAGTCTCTCATGGGTCCCTGTACGGCCTCCCATTGCTGCTGTCTCCATCGCCACACTCTGCCATGTGCCACTTTCAGGTCTCCTCACACACTGCTGGTGTGTAGAATTTTTTTTGACATAGGGTGCTGGCAGATTACGGGCCTCCCATTGCTGCTGCCAGGCCCCTAATCTGCCATGGGCCCCTATATACCGCCTCCTCATGCTGCTGCCAGGTCCAGAGTCTCTCATGGGTCCCTGTACGGCCTCCCATTGCTGCTGTCTCCATCGCCACACTCTGCCATGTGCCACTTTCAGGTCTCCTCACACACTGCTGGTGTGTGTAGAATTTTTTGACATAGGGTGCTGGCAGATTACGGGCCTCCCATATTGCTGCTGCCAGGCCCCTAATCTGCCATGGGCCCCTATATACCGCCTCCTCATGCTGCTGCCAGGTCCAGAGTCTCTCATGGGTCCCTGTACGGCCTCCCATTGCTGCTGTCTCCATCGCCACACTCTGCCATGTGCCACTTTCAGGTCTCCTCACACACTGCTGGTGTGTAGAATTTTTTGACATAGGGTGCTGGCAGATTACGGGCCTCCCATAGCTGCTGCCAGGCCCCTAATCTGCCATAGGCCCCTATATACCGCCTCCTCATGCTGCTGCCAGGTCCAGAGTCTCTCATGGGTCCCTGTACGGCCTCCCATTGCTGCTGTCTCCATCGCCACACTCTGCCATGCCATGTGCCACTTTCAGGTCTCCTCACACACTGCTGGTGTGTAGAATTTTTTGACATAGGGTGCTGGCAGATTACGGGCCTCCCATAGCTGCTGCCAGGCCCCTAATCTGCCATAGGCCCCTATATACCGCCTCCTCATGCTGCTGCCAGGTCCAGAGTCTCTCATGGGTCCCTGTACGGCCTCCCATTGCTGCTGTCTCCATCGCCACACTCTGCCATGTGCCACTTTCAGGTCTCCTCACACACTGCTGGTGTGTTCAATTTTTTGACATAGGGTGCTGGCAGATTACGGGCCTCCCATAGCTGCTGCCAGGCCCCTAATCTGCCATAGGCCCCTATATACCGCCTCCTCATGCTGCTGCCAGGTCCAGAGTCTCTCATGGGTCCCTGTACGGCCTCTCCCATTGCTGCTGTCTCCATCGCCACACTCTGCCATGTGCCACTTTCAGGTCTCCTCACACACTGCTGGTGTGTAGAATTTTTTGACATAGGGTGCTGGCAGATTACGGGCCTCCCATAGCTGCTGCCAGGCCCCTAATCTGCCATAGGCCCCTATATACCGCCTCCTCATGCTGCTGCCAGGTCCAGAGTCTCTCATGGGTCCCTGTGTACGGCCTCCCATTGCTGCTGTCTCCTTCGCCACACTCTGCCATGTGCCACTTTCAGGTCTCCTCACACTGCTGGTGTGTTGCCAGAATTTTTTTGACATAGGGTGCTGGCAGATTACGGGCCTCCCCATTGTGCTGCTGCCAGGCCCACTAATCTGCCATGGGCCCCTGCGTACCGCCTCCTCATGCTGTGACACTGCTGGTGTTTGCCAAGGTGCAGGCAGATTACAACCTCATATGTTAGGCCCCTTTACCATGGGCAGGAAAGGCCATCACAGATTGCTGCCATGTCCAAAAGCGGATAAAGGTACGGCCTCCCATTGTGCTGTCTCTCTACACTCTGCCATGTGCCACTTTCAGGTCTCCTCACACTGCTGGTGTGTTCAATTTTTTGACATAGGGTGCTGGCAGATTACGGGCCTCCCATTGCTGCTGCCAGGCCGTAATCTGCCATGGGCCCCCGTACCGACTCCTCATGCTGTGACGTTGCAACAAGGTGGAATTCATATACATATGTTAGACCGCCTTTACGAACAGCGAAAGGCCATCACAGATTTCCTGATGTTAAAAGCGGATAAAGGTACTCCCTGTGTAACTTAGATGTCAGCCATTGGCAGCTCATGCGTGACACCTGCGCTTGCTCAGGCCCTTTGAGGAGGCCACGCTATTCGTGAGTCGGCACTATGGGATGAACGACGTCATTCCTCTGTTGCACGTCCTGGAACAAATGCTGTTAACAATGGCTGGTCAGGGTGCGGTAGACGTGGCGCACAGATCTCAACGCCACATGACCCCTGTGGGGGCAGGACAGGAAGAAGAGGAGGAGGTAGAGGAGGACATTGGTGCTCAGGAATTATTGAGTGAAATGGGTGGTTTTTCCACTCAGCGGACAGGAGTGGAGGAGCAGGAGCATCTGGTAGAGGAGGAGGAGGAGGAGGAGAGAGAGGACCCAGACGCACCGTGGCAGTATGCTGTGGAGATGGAGGCAGGGAGTCCCTCGCATTCCTTGGCACAAATGGCCCATAGCATGCTCGCTTGCTTGCGTAGCGACAGCCGAATAATAACCATCAGACAGAGGGATGACTTTTGGCTGTCCACCTTGTTGGACCCTCGCTACCGTTCAAAAATGGTGGCCTTTTTCACACCTGCTGAGAGGGAGGCCAAAATAACGTACTATAAAAACCACCACCTATGTAGTCAGCTGGTCTCTGCCTTTCTGCGCCAACGTCCATCCTCAGACACTGTGGGCCCTGTGCGCTCGCGTTACGCTGCCATGGCAGCAGGGGAGGGGGGGGGTGGTAGGAGCAGTGGCAGCTCCACCAGCAGCGGCTGCCTCAGTCTGCAGTCGATGATGAGTAGCTTTCTTCACCAGCGCAGTGAGGAAACTACTAACCAGCCGCAGCAGCAGCAGCATCAGGTGGACCTGGAGCAGGACCTCAAACAACAGGCTTAGGCCTACTTGGACAGCACCCTGCCAACCGAGGTAGACAATCCCCTTGACTACTGGGCAACGAAACTTGACCTTTGGCCCCAACTAGCTGAATTTGCCCTTGAAAGGCTGTCATGCCCGGCCAGTAGCGTGGCATCGGAGCGCGTGTTTAGTGCGGCAGGAGGTATTGCAACTCCGCGGAGGACACGACTGTCCACCCAAAGTGTGGAGAGACTCACGTTTGTGAAAATGAATCAGGCGTGGATTAGTCTGGATTTCAAACCACTAGTTCCTGACACAACTGACTAAATCCGCCATGAATCATGCCCCAAACATGTGCCACTTTCAGGTCTCCTCACACACTGCTTGTGTTTTCAATTTTTTGACATAGGGTGCTGGCAGATTACGGGCCTCCCATAGCTGCTGCCAGGCCCCTAATCTGCCATGGGCCCCTATATACCGCCTCCTCATGCTGCTGCCAGGTCCAGAGTGTCTCATGCCATGTGCCACTTTCAGGTCTCCTCACACTGCTGGTGTGTTCATTTTTTTGTCATAGGGTGCTGGCAGATTACGGGCCTCCTATAGCTGCTGCCAGGCCCCTAATCTGCCATGGGCCCCTATACCGCCTCCTCATGCTGCTGCCAGGTCCAGAGTCTCTCATGGGTCCCTGTACGGCCTCCCATTGCTGCTGTCTCCATCGCCACACTCTGCCATGTGCCACTTTCAGGTCTCCTCACACACTGCTGGTGTGTTCCATTTTTTGTCATAGGGTGCTGGCAGATTACGGGCCTCCCATTGCTGCTGCCAGGCCTGTAATCTGCCATGGGCCCCCGTACCGCCTGGTCACGCTGCTGCTGGGTCCACAGTGTGACATGGGTCCTTGTACCGCCTCCCATTGCTCCCACTGCATGTGCCACTTTCAGGTCTCCTCACACTCCTGCTGGTTTCCATTTTGTCATAGGTTGCTGTATGGCCTCCCATTGCTGCTGCCTCCACCGCCACACTGTGGCTCCAAACACTGGTTTTGGCCCCGTGACTGGCCAAATGAGTGAAGTGTGCGGTGATTCTAAGATCGACGGCACTCATCTGCATGTCATACTGAGTGACAGTATTATTTCTCTTCCCCAGCAGACTCCAAGGGCATTTAAATTAAAGGTACAGTGTTCTGCACTAATATTAAGTCTCTCTGAAGCCTAGAAACACCCTTTTTTAAGTTAAATTCACAGCGAATTTATTCGACTCGAATCGAATATTGTCCACGAATTCGCCGAATCAGTCGAATCGAATTTTTCATTTCTTCGCTCATCTCTAACATTTACAGCAGCAGTTATATTATTTTTTCATTTATTTTTGGTATAAAGTTTTTTGAAAAAAAGATATAAAAGTTGACCATTGCAAGCACCCTTGTCAACATTAAATGGTTTGCCTTAAGCATCCAAGCTTTTAGTCTTTACTGGACAGTGTAGTCTGCTATGGGAATTTGAAGAATAACAGACTGATCGGATCACCAGGTGAAAACAAATGAGAAAAAGCTTAAAGAGAGAAAACAAATGTAGCCACTACATTTAATAATTAGTCATTTGCAGTATATAACATTTTTGCTTTTGGTTTTAGATTAATTTTCAGCCATAATGGAGTTGTTGTCAACACTAAACAGAGTGATCATACAAAACTAAAACAATTTGTCTGGAGTTCCATTTTAGGCATTAATTAAATATGAATTAATTTTTTATCAAATGTCAGTTTAAAACAAGTAATTGTATAGATTGGGAAGCAAAACTTTGTTTCTTGTCTGTCATATAATCTCAAAATACCCCAATTTTGAACCAAAGTTTTTAAAAATATTTTTTACCATAGTTTATTTTAAAAACATGAATGTCACAACTGCTACTGAGTGTGGCAGCACATTGAGTACAGTTTGTTCTCATGTTGTATTCTTTAGCCATTAACAACAGTAACTGTTTTTTTTCCCTTTAGCTGTCTCAACTATAAATAAAGAATGAAATATTTCTTATGTTTCCATTCCCAGCACGAAATTCACAAAAATTCAAGGAAGTGTTTGCCAAGTTGATATCAGAGAATTAAAGCAAACTGGTCTGCCATCTGCTGCTTCTGATAAGAGATTCATCTGCCTGTTGAGCAGGTAGTTGAGGGATGACAGAGACACGAAGAAGATAATGAATTGCTGAAAACAGACAGAATTCTGCAGATGTTCTTGGAAAAGGTTAATAATCTAGAGGGTCAAGCCAATGATACAACATGTTTTTTTTCATATTTTTAGTTTTTTTGTGTTTCTTTTTCATGATTTGTAAAAGCAGCTTGCAAGCTTGCTGTGTTTGTTGGCAAGAATTTGTATTATTTTTTAATTTAAGATTTGCATACTATATCTGTGTTTACCTATCTAAACCTAAGTAAGCAAACAGCAGTAAGTTAATTATGTTATATAGTTTGATATTGCATATAATTATCATTTTTGATCAGTGCACATCATCTTTCACTGAAATAATTTTATGTGTGACTGTATGGAATCTGGTCCACAATAAGAAAAATCTTGCATTGTGTCATTCTGACTTTGTTATTAGTGATGAGTATGACATTTTGTTGACCTTGATTTCACTCTCAGTGTTGTATTCACTTTCATTTCAGCATTAAAAAACATAATTTAAGCTACAACTGAAAAAATGAGTAATGTGAAAGCACAGGTTTAACCAAAAAAGTATTTATTTTATTTTTTTTATTTTTTATGCTTATTCTACTTTGTTTTCTGTTTATGTTTATAAAAAGGGGAGGGCATTTTACTTTTAATGTTTTTAGGGTTGTTTTTTGGAGTTTTTTTTAGATTTTTTTTCACATGATTTGTAAAGTTGGTTACACCTCAAAAGCTGAGAACATGGGTTCCTCAGTCTCTGGTAATTTGTGGCATTACAGGCTGGTCATCCTCCTAGATCCACATTAGATGAAACATCTGGAAGATGTGTTGTGAAAGACACTGTTAACCTTCTTTCCAGAATCTGGCAGAGTACAGTTTCACGGGCAAGGTGGCTTGGAGCCTTCTGTCAGTAGAAGATAGAATAGCATTTGTGGAGGCTGCTTAAGCAAGTCCTTCAGGGTTGTCTGCTACCACCAGGTATAGGCAATGGTTGAATCATATGATGGTCGATTACATAGAGTCAAGGGCAGATGTTGACATTCTCAGACTCCTACTACTACTACCACTACTATTTCTGCCACCGATGCCATTTGTTTTTAATTCTTGCATGAGGCTCATTAACTGCAATTAAAAATATAAGTAAACATTTAAATGTAAATGTCATGAAATGTTCTAGTTCTGTCAACAGTTTTGACAATTTTTTTTCTTTATCTCACTATAGAACTGAATACACATTTGCAACTGACAAATATGAAATGCTCAACTATACTTGTAGTTGGAGAATTTTTAATTGTATCTAGCTTGGAGTATTGTGTCTTTATGGAAATCCTGTGTATACTTATAGATGTGTATCTATCTGCAAGTAAGAATTGTTTAGTCCATTAAAATCTTCAGTTTTAACACACCTGTACTCTCAATGCTCTTCTCTTCGTTTTAGTTACATACACCCCTCATCCATGAAAGAATTATTAATTCATGATTATTATGGATTCTATGGACCATTAGATTAATTAATTGACGTGTATATTGTGCTACTTTTATTATATATTTGAAGATAGAATTTCATATGTTATTATGCTTCGGTGCTGTTTGAATGTTCCTAATATGTCTGGTGGAGACTGAGTGATGTTGATTAATAATTAACATATTTTTATTGTAACTCGTGATGTTCCATATAAGGATTGTAAATGACAAGAACTATGTGATGCTTGACTTTAATTTATCTCACCCCATTCCCACAAAACAGAGTGTAGTCAGTGTTTAGGCCACTTACATGTCAGATTCTCTACACCACTGTTTGCAGGAAGCTACTGAACTGGTTTCTGTGCCTTAAAGTGTTACTAAACCCAGGACCCTGCATTCACTATATCTGGTCTCCCACAGTACACAGAACATGGAAGTGCAATTATTTCAGTAAATATAAACTGCTAAATACATTTTCTCATCAACAGTTAGAGCAGTCTTGTGACTTCCATCAGTGTCCAGCTGAGCACTGGTTAAAGCTTGTAGGAGGAGTTTATGTTCTGCTCTAGGAGTATGCAAAACCCCTGACCTCTGTCTGGACAGTGCTGATTGGCCCTGTGCTGATCACATGCAATCTCCCTAGAAAAAAAAACCTCTCTAGCAATACACACTAATCCAAGCATTTGCAGAATGGCTACGGTTCAGTCTGTCTTATCAGGAGATAAGCTGTGGACATTTGAACAAGAGGAGGAGCAGAGAAGTCAGGATCAAACGGCCTTTTCAACACAATGCAGATGATTAACCCCTTAGGTTCCACAGTGAGTATAACAAGCATGCTTTACTGCATATACAGACTGATTTTACTGTTGTGAGTTTAATAACACTTTAAAAGGCTGCTCACCCAAGGAAGTAAAGCAACTGCAAACTTCCCTGCTCAAAATGTTTATTTGTAAAATGTAGATTGAATGCAAATGTGAAAAATATATAAAACTTCAGTTTGTAAATGTAAGAAACAAAATAAAATTGGCCCAAAAACTACTATAGTTTGCCTTTTAAAAAATCACACTAAGTGTGCATGAGCGGGCGGCCAGTCTCCATGTCCCTGCACTAGCTCCGCACACCCCCGACACTATGAATGGCCCGTACACGGGCACCGAGCCCCCACTGCTCCTGAGATCGATGATCTTCATACAGAAATTGATCGTATACACAGAGCATTGATCCCCCCTATACAGGGAGGGCCTCCTCGGGATATCATTGTCAAGCCAGACTTCTTTCAGGTCAAGGAAGCAGTTATGAAGTATAGTAGGAAGACTCCGTATTTGGAATTTGTGGGACATAAGATACCAATATTTGCAGATGTCTCTCTGACCACTATCCAGAAGCGGCAATCTCTTAAGGCATTACTTTCCTACCTAGTGCAGAAGGATATCCGGTATCGGTGTGCCTACCCATTTCGCTTACAATTCAATTTCAATGGAATACCTCACGGGTTCTCTACATTCCAAGATGGCAAAGAATTGTTACTTCAACTGGGCATTATTTCCCGTAGCCCTACATCCCATTCCCCAGCAAGGTCTACATCTCGGCTTCCGACGCTTTTACCATTGTGGACTGCTCCAAATTCTAGGAAGACGAAGTCACCAAGATCACCCAGAAAGACTTTTTAAGGTTAACACTTCATTTGTGGGGGATTTTTGTGTGGTTTTTTGACATGTGGTGGCTTTTCTGTGGTTCCTTGGGAACGTTGGCTACCACTGCTTGGGTGCTTTGGAAGGACTGGGGGGGGGGGCGATGAGGGTGGGAGAGGTATTATCTTTATGTACATATCTATAACGGGGGGGTGAGGGTTTTTTTTTTCTTCTCTCCCTCATGCCGTCCATGAGGTTGCATCAGACCCATCTGCTGACTACAGTATGAGAGGACTCGGTTATTCTTATATTGCACTATGTTATTAATGGGTTATTGTTCTTGTTGGTGCCGGGGAGTGTCTATGTGTCCTCCTCGATTTGGAAGACTCTCCCCTGAGTTGTTTCTCTGGGTAGATTCATTCCTTTAGAGGGCTATAGCCCTGATACTACTGGTATATTGTTTGAATTGATTATATTATTATGTTTATTACTATTGGTTACTAGACACGAGGATTTTTTATATTCAATATGTTTCTTTTTACTACTTTTTTTTGTTTAGACTCTCTTGCTCTTTTTTTTCTTTCCTTTTTTTTTTTCAAGGGTCAGCCGTCAGTATCCCTGGATTCTTTGGACTTTTCTTATGCTCCGAGAGCGGATGGTTCTCATTAAATATAGTTCCTTAGTTGTTGATTATGTCTTCTCCACGGTCTAATAGTGGAGCTATCCATTTACTATCTCACAACATTCAGGAGCTCAATTCCCCCTCCAAACGTATAAAGGCCTTTATTTCATACCGCTCTTTTGGGGCGGACATCGTTACAGACACATTTTCCCCCTTCATTCACCCCAAGATATGTTCATAAATATTATCCTGTTTGTTATTTTGCTAATGCTACAGAAAAAAAAACGCCCTTTGCTTGTCTCGCCGTCTGTTA